CAACCACAGAAGAGCACTAGACTTGGAAGGAGTGGATCTGCAAACCACTCGTGAATCAGCTAGGTGAATCAACTTTGTCTGTGCAAGAAGATGATCAGTTGCTTGAAATCACAACTATCGGTAGCCTTAAAAGGATGTTTGAGACAAGTTTCAAATTTCCATGCGTTCTGCATTCAGGTAGAGGTGGACTATCCTGAGACTTGCGCAGAGGCACTGAAAAGCCTGCTTCCCTCCCCAGCATCCTATCTTTGTGAAATAGAACAAAACAAACAAAAATGAGAACAAAACAAACCTTCGAGGAGAAAATGCTGGTCTTTTGTTGTGTTTCTTTTCACTTCTGTTGTGATGTATGTCATACTGTTTTCTGATTTTATGTATTTTTTCAAGATGCCTTTAGATTTTTTCTTTCTTCTTTTTGTTCCCTTTCCTTCAAGCTTTGCTTTCTTTCTCTTCTTGTTTCTTATTTATTGAGAATCTAACCCTTTACACTGAGCTATATCCCTGGCCCCTTTTCCTTTTAAAAATACACTTCAGTATGAATTTTACTTTCATTAATGCCTATTTTTTGAAGATACCTCCAATTTTATTGGTGTAACAGTTCAGCTGCATAATATTAGAAAGATTTTGATAGGCATACTGAGACCATAGCCAGCCTTCCTAACATCCCTTCATTAAACTGGAAAATACACTTGTGCTGCCAATAACTACCTTACCAAAAAATCCTTTGGGATCTCGTGCCTGTTTAGAATAAAATGTAGCACAGAACTGTGGAAGGGATTAACAAAACACCAATGCTGGCCTTTTTTCAATTGGCACTGAATGCATTAGAAACACTGGGAGTTTTATATGAATAAAAATGCACAGTTTTACCCATTATACATTTTGCACTTTGGTTGGTGAAATACATTTCTGAATTGTCCATTTTTCTTCTCTTTATTTTTTATTATTTATTTATTAATTTTTGTAAATCCTGTTCTGCATTACTCTTTCCCTTTGTCTTCTTTGGTCAGTGTAATTACTTTTCAGCTGTCAGTGTTACTAGTAGTTATTGTCTCCTCTCAGACCTGTGGTGAGTGTCTGCTTTGGCACTGAGACAAATGCACAACCCCGGTTACATCCTCAAGAAAACAACTGCTTCTAGGAGTCACATACTAGTGCAAGAGATATCCATTCCAATAGATGTGCCAGCCTCAGAATATAAATACAAGAAACATGGAAGAATAAGGCAACAAGATGCCTCCAAAAGTTTACAGTTGTTCAGTAACTGAATCCCAGGATACTGAGGTGGAGACCTGGACAGAGAATTCCAAAAAATGTCAAAATAATCTGTGAATTCAAAGAAGATACAAACAGCTGATGAAACTTAGCTGGGGACTGTGGTACACTCCCATAATCCCAGCCTTCAGGAGGCTGAGACAGGAGGATCACTGTGAGTTTGAGGCCAGCCTCGGATACATAGTGCCACAGACAACTCTGTGGAGTTCCACCTGCTGGCATCCTGGCTGGTCATTCCATAATGGTACTTTCTGGGGCTGGCACTGAGAAGGAACATACTACATTGTCACAGCAGCCTACTCCCTCTGTATAATAGGCGGATTCCAGTACTGGAAGTCTGGCAAAGAAAGGTCTCTATTTTAAATACACCCTCAAGCTCTGCGAGGCTGAGTAAGGGTCATTGCAAGTTCTAGTCCAGCCTGAGTAATTCAGTGATTTAGCAAGACCTTTTCTCTGGAAAAAAAGGGATTGTGGGGCAGATGCTGTAGACATAACTCATTGTAAAAGTCCTGGGTTCAGTGTTCTAGTTGATGTTTACCTTTGATGTTGGTTTAGTCCCTTGGGCTGTTATATCCAAATACCATAACCTAGCTAACAAATTTATTTCCCACAGTTCTGGAAACTGGGAAGCCTGATATCAAGGCAGGAGCATATTTGGTGTGGGTGAGGGCTCTTCCTGGTGCGTAGGTGGCCACCTTTTTTCCTGATGTCCTCACAAGGCAGCACTCTAAGGCCTCTTTTTTCTAAATTTATTGATACAGTTTAGATACACAGAGTGATCACATTCATCATAGAGAACTGTATATGATATACATCGATTCCTCTTTTTTTCCCAATCCCCTCCCTTCAATCCCTATTCTGCTCCTTATGTACAGAGCTTTGTTTCCATTTTATCCTTTTTTGTTTTTTTCCTTCCTTTCCCCATCCCCCCTCCCTAGATCTTTTTTCCTTTTGAACAGTTTTTTCCCATTTCACAATATCTGTTGTGCATTTTGGTCCTTATTTACTCTTTCAGTTTCTCACACCAGGGAGATGGTGGGATATTTACATGTGTTTCTGATTTATGAAAGAAGGAATTCCATCCATGAGGGCTCTGCCCATGATGCCTCATTACCTTCAAAGGCCATACTCCTAATGACCTTGTGCTCAGATTCCAGCAAATGAATTTTGAGGGGACACAAACTATAGAAAATGTTTATTTCCTTCCTTGGGCTTTGTTTGATTTAATTTGCTCTTTTCTAGTATCTCAAGGTGGAAGATAGGTCACTGGTTCCAAACCCTTCAGATGGAAACATTCACTGCTGACAATTTTCATGTAAGAACTGCCATAGCTGTAGAGCTTGGTGTCTTTTGTTTTGTTTTGTTCAATTCAAAATACTTTCTAGTTTCTGTTACCTCTCTGACCCAGTTACTTAGTTACATGTTACTTAGTTTCCATGAGTTACTTAGGTAGATGATTATTTTCCAGGCGTAATTTTGTTATTGATTTCTTATTTGAATGTTTTGTGATCAGGACATGTTTTGCACGGATGAAATCATTTTGACTGCATCTTTTGCTAATACGGCCTTAAAATATGTTTTGTTAAGAATGGTGATGCTCAGGTCTGCTCTATTCTGATTCTCTGCCCACTTGTCCTCTCATTTATTGAATAAAGAGTATTGAAATCTCAGATTGTCCCTGTGAATGGGTCTATTACTTTTTGCAGTCCTATCAGTTTTGCCCCCAAGTGTTTTTGAAGCTGTTATCGGGCACATAAACTTTTAGAACTGTACAACTTCTTGATTAATTGAACCCTTTACCATTATGAAATGACCAAATTTATTGTACATAATAGAATTTTACTGTGAGTGGTCCACGTTGGTATTAATATAGCCATTTCTGGTCAGCCTTCTTGTTTCAAGAATTAGTGTGGTATTTCTTTTTAACCAATTTATGTCTTTAAAGTCTGTTTCTCATAAGCATGAAACTTTTTATCCATACAGACAACTTGCCTTTTAATTGAATTTTCTAGACCATTTTCATTTCACATGAAGTCAAAATCTGTATATATATTTGGACTTTCCACAAACTTAACTGCTAATGCCTACTGTTAAACAGAAGCCTTACCAATAATATACACATTTGATTAACACAGATGTTTGCATGTTAAAAAGTATTACGTATGGTGAAAAGTGCATGAGAATTGTAAGATATCACTTTTTACTGTGATACTTTCCTGTCGAGATAAACTACTCACGTGGAGATCAGCACTCTGGTCTTGTAAGTGGATGTTTTAACCATGGGCTCGCCACAGTAACAAAAGGTGTCTCCAAAGTGATAGGTAATGTGGTCCTATGTCTTTGTGTGTGTTTGTTTCTCTTGACTTCATATTACAGTTTGTATGCATGAATGTTGGTAGATTTCAACTTTTTCTGATGGATGTGTGTATATTTTATGATTGTACAAGACAGACTATTCTCTCCATGTACATGTGCAACATGCTTTTTCCTTCACTTTTTCAATATATCTAGGCTGTGTGGTTCATTTGTAAGATTTTTCAAATTCTCTGATATCTCCCAATAAAACCCTGACCTGTGCAGTTCAAGTCTGTGTCATTCAAGGGTCAGTTATTGGGTTGTCTGCCATGCTTTTGATTGTGGTAAGTTTTCATCTCTGTAAATGTAATTTGGGTTTTTAAAAAAATCTTTCATGACTCTTTGCCTGTCTTTATTTTTGGATACAGTTTAGTTTTTAATAAACAGCTTCATCCTTCCTGGTTTTGATATTTTGATTTATTAGGTGTATCAGAACAATGTTTAATCTATGGTTAATTCCCCAGTGTTGACACAAGATCTTTCTGATTTCCATTGCCCTGTGAATTGTGTTTCTCCTGGCTGTGTGAGCACCAGGCAGTTTCCTCTGATCTTTTCCGATGCTTTTTCCCCTGGCGCTGAGGTGGTGTCTTGGCGTACCTGCGCTGTTACTCTGCTCTGTACTAAAGGAGAGAGGACTCTGCAGACCTCCAGGATTTTTCCACACTGTCCTCTCCTGTCTGTTGCTCTCCCCTGTGATCCCTGTCTGCCTTGGTTTTATCAGACCTGGCTTCATGGCCTCAGCCAGGGAATGTAGTGGACTCCAGTTCTTCTCCTTGTGTTGGGGCACGGCCCTGAGTCATTCAGAATGCTTACTTGATTTGTCTCCTGTCTTGTCAGCGATCATGGTCTTCATTGCCTTGAGTCCATTGCCCTGAACATTTGTTTGATGTATTTTTGTTTGCTTTGTTTTGGTTGTTTCAGTAGGAATTTAAATTAGTACCTACAACTCCATCTTGGCTAGAAGCCAGAGTCTGGGCATACACTGCAGCTTGATGACAAGGCTGTTAAATGGGGCTGGGGATTTAGCTCAGCAGCACAAGGCCTGCCTGGCAAGTGTGAGGTCCTGTGTTGGATTCCTGCTACCACAAAATCTGCTTATTCTAGGGATATTTCTTTCCTTCCCCCCTTTCTCTGACAAGTTAATAAGTAAGGCTCTTAAATGATCATTTTATTTGTCTTTCTTCTCCATGAGATTTAAAGCTGAAGAAGAGTAGAAGTCTCCTCTATTTATCTGCAAAGCTCAGTGAAATGTGCTCAGTTGCGGGCATACTGTATATATATTCATTTGGTGTATGAATGACTGATTGGAAAATGTAGTCTTTATTCACAAAAAACACTTTCATTTCCATCTTGTTTTGTCCCTGATATAGATTCTGTTAGTTTATCAAAAATCTGGGATGGAATACAGTCATATAAAAGAGTACTAGAACTTAAGAAGGATCATGATGAAGTGCTTAAAGGAAAAAATAAAAAATTGGAAAATAAGTTGAGGGGACTACAGAAGAAGCTATCGGAAACACAAGAAGTGAAATCACAGTTAGAACATGCAAAAATACAACGAGAGAAGGAACTTGGCAATTTACGGTATGGTGGCCAGCTGCCTACAACTGATATGGATGGGAAATTTTGTAGTTGATGATTTATTGTCTGTTGTTTTTCAAGGAAGAATACTTGTAAGTTTGTAGAGTGTGAGTTCTTGGAAATGATAGATTTATAACTGAAAATATCTAATAATTGAGTGTGTACTGTGCTAAATAATAATTCTAGTGGCTATATGGAAATCTCTCTATTTAGCAAATAGAATTTTGGGGTTTTGTTTTTATATTATAAGTAATGCTGCAAAGAACATTGCTTATGTAAAACATTTTGTATATCTTTACTTTGAATGCATTTTTAAAATTTTAAAAGTAAAAGAACAAAAACATATTAACAAACAGACAATCATTTACGAAGTAACACAAGAATAGTACAAGCAATACTGAATTACAGACAAGGTGACAGGGAATTAACAATGGTTGTTGTATTACATATTGATAACTTCAAAGTAATTATGCAGGAAAACAAATAGAGGCATGCAAGATTGATCAAAAAATCAATCATTAATTGTTCCTTTCTATAAAGCGATATGTCAGTAGTACAACTATGTTAGCTATCCTGTATATACATATATATGTAATTTCCCCCTTCTTCTCAATATAGGATTATTTTACTAAAGTATAAGAACTTTCTTAAAAGGTCTTTGATCAGTATATCTAAAATGTTCTCAAGAAGGTTTATATTACTTTACAGCACTTCCAACAGTAGAAATGGTCACTGTTTTAGTTACTTCTCTTGTTGCTGAAACAAAATAACCAATACCTGAAGTCAAAGGAGGAAAGACTTATTTCAGCTCACAGTTTGTAGGGTTTCCTTGTGTAATGGGCTGGCTCCAAGGCAGGGTGGAATGACAGAGGGGCATCACAGAGGAGAAACAGTCCATGGCAAAGCAGGCCAGGCAGAAGGCAGCAAAGCAGAGAAGTAACAAGCAGCAAGAGATGAGTGACCACATGATCCCTCTTTGTGTCCCTCATATTTTAGCCAGGCTACCCACCCTTAGTGCAGGGAGCATTCACACCCAGAGTGGGACGCCTTTAATCCTCCCCAGAGCTATTGCAAACCAATCAGTGGGCTAATTTAGTTATCCCACATGGTTAATTGCTCTCTGAAAAGCACCCACCTATGACCACACGAGGCTTTGAGTGGACATCTAGATGCAAGCTAGATTCTCTACCATTTTTCTCTACCTAGAGAAATGTTTTTAAAAGTATAATTTTCTTCCTCTTTTTCATCTTCTTTCTCTTTCCTTTTCCTCACCCTCTTACTTCTCTTCTTTCCTTCCCTCTGTGCTCCTTTTTTTCTTCTTCATTCTTTTCTCTCATCATGTTTTGCGGTGCTACAGTTTGAATCCAGGACCTTGGCACATGGTAGGCAAGCACTGTACTGGTCATACCACATACACAACATGTATGAAGTGAATCGGAAATGGAAAGTGATATTTATCAGTTTACCCAACTTCTCCCCCATAGATAGTACTAATTCATGTATCTATATTAAAAGAATATGTTGCTGTATTTATTGAATTATGTAGGTCCTGTCTTATTAAGGAAATCTTTAAATTGTTTATAAAATCCAGAATAGTCAACAAGTAAGTTAAAATTATCCCCTCCAAAACATAAAAAATGTGATAACGGTTACTAGACTCATTACCCTTTTCTTGGATTATAGTGACATGTTGTATAAAAATCATCTGAAGGTACTGTCTTATTCTATTAAACATTTTAGGGATACTTGTGAGTACGTGAGATTGTAGGCATGCTCCGTCTCACTAAAAAGAGCATTCAGTTTGTAACTTCACTAGTTTCAGAATTATATTTACCAGAGTTATTAAAAATTGTAATAGTAACAGAATGTTGTTTCATTACTCCCCTTCAAGTGTATGTGTCCTTTGGAAGAGATTAAAGTGAGAGATTTAAAATAGGAGAACTAGGAAGGAAAAATATTTGAAAGCACAGAGATTTTATTAGCATAATAAATGAACACATGCAGAGCCAGATCATAAAATGAACGTTTTATTTTCTAAGAAGAGACATTTTAAATAAGCATGTTCAACTGCAGATTAGCCGTAAAAGAAGAAGAGAAGAAGAGAAAAAACATGGATCAACTTTGTGAAAAAATTAACAGACAGTTAAGAAAAAAGGAAGAACAGTATTGTCAGGAAGCTGAAGCGAAACAACAACATGAAGTTTCCCTTAGAGCACTAGACACGGAATTGAAGACTGTGAGAAGTGAACTGAATCGGGTAAATCAGTCCTTGATAAAAGTTTCCTATTTGTGTTTTATGGATATTATAGTGTTTCTTTGATTGAATTGATGGTCCTGTGTTGCTTACCACTGAGGAGATGATCCAAGACTTGTATTGCTTGGCAGTTGCATTACTATGCAAACATAAGTAGGCAGCCACACACACTTAAAACATCAACTACATTTCTGGGTGGTATAATCTTTTTTTTTTTTTTTTTTTTTTTTTTTGTTTTTTCTCCGGTACCGGGAACCGAACTCACGACCTTGCGCTTGCCAGGCAGGAGCTTTTGCCACTGAGCTAAATCCCCAGCCCTGGGTGGTATAATCTTAAGGACTATAGCTGAGGGTGCAGTCCGTGGTTGAACAAAACATTGTTATGCACCATATGACTATTACTCAGTTTGAAAACAAAATGTTATGTTCCCCTAAGAGAAACTTGCAACGTTTATAGCTAAAAGTATTTCTTATAAATCTTGACATCTAATAGCTCAGCATGTTTTCTCAATAAAGGAGTGAAAGTTGAGTTTAATCATGAACATAAATGTATAAAGAACATGTACATTTGGGTATTTATATGTTAAAGCTACCTAACTTTAAAACTAGCTAAATGTTTCTTAAGGAAATTTTATTTTACAATACTATCTGTGCCTATATTTAATAAATGTTTTTAGTGTTTAACAAATTTTAGCTGTCATTTATGCAATTTAAAATTTGAAGCCATGCATGGTGGCCTTCGCCTGTCATCCCAGCACTGGGAGGCTGAGGCAGGAGGATGACTGTGAGTTTGAGGCCATCCTGCAGTACATAGCAAGACCTTGTCTTAACACTAATTAAGAACATAATTATACTGTAGCCAACAATTTCTTTGAAACATTGGCATACTAAGGTTTCTATTATAAAGATATTTAAGAAATATAAAATTGAAAACACTTAATGTAATAGAGGAAAATTTTGTATCAAATGTTCATATTTTTCTCACCATGACAAAGAAATAGGTATTTGTCCTCATTATACAGCTAGACCCGGTATTTATAGACCATGCATTTGACCAACTGAAAACCTATGTGCGAAGTGCCATACCACCCACCCATTCCTTGCTCATCAGAGTGTTCACTGAAGCAGCCCAGCAGTTACTGGAAATGAATTGATTTGGGAGTCTTTATTTAGGAACAAGGTCCAGTAGTTTCAGCTCAGAGGCTTCAGCCCGCTCTCACAGTCATGTCACTTACATAATACTTAATCCAGGAAGCCCTGTTTGCATGATCCTTGCCCACTGAGTCATGCTGAGAGAAAATAAGGTGTAAGTTGTTATCAGTGACACACCATTGGCTACTGGAACTAACTGCTGAGTGTTAAGGAGGACTGGGGTGCATCTGGGGCCTCATGCCCTGCATTGACTGCCGCCTGCATTGTGAGTGATGAGAAGCAGTTCAGCTTGTATGGAAGCCCTCTTCCATTGCCCACCACCTGCCTAAGATCAGATTTTGCTTTCTCTCACCCGAGGTCAGCTCAGCAGGCCCCAGGGAGCAGGAGAGTATCTCCCTCCCTCCTTCCTCCAAGCCCCTGTGCCCTTTTTGCCACAGTCTCACATGGAGTCCTGGGCCATTCTGAAAACTCCAGTATTTCCTCTTCACCCTAAAAGCATTTCTGGCATCAGTGACTGAACCCAGGGCCTCCCACCGAGCTGCATCCCTGGGCCATTTTTATGTTTTATTCTGAGACAGGGCCTCAGAAAATTGCCCAGGCTGGGCTCAAATTTGCTCTCCTTACACCTCAGCCTGCCTAAGTGCTGGGATTGTAGACATGTGCCACTACACCTGGCCTAATTTATTTCTTTTTAGTTTTTTGAGATAGGGTCTCACTATGTATCCCGGGCTTCCCTTCAATTTACTATGTCACCCCAAGGGAGCCTCAAGCTTATAGCAATCCTCCTGCCTCAGCCTCCAGAGTGCTAGCATCACAGGTGTGTGACACCAAGCCTACCCCCTTATTTTGAGACATAGACTTACTAAATTATCAAGGTTGGACTTGACCTAAGCAATCTTCTGCCTCAGCTTCCCTACAGTATCAGATTTTCTCCAAACACAACATACAATATTTAGCTCAATATTGGCGTCACATAGTCTTGAAGTTCTTTATGTATATGCCCTCATTTAATTTTCCCAGCAGTCTAATGAGGTGTAGATACCATTATGATCTTGGATTCACAGATGGAGAAAACAAGACAAAGTATATCTTCTTATGACCCCGTTGCTGGTGACTGATGGAGCTGGGAGTCAGGCCCAGGCATTCTGGCTTCTTTCTAGATACTGTTTCTCAAACAGTTCTGGGAGACATCTAGCTGTTACTGAAGTGCTGTGTCCATTTTATTGTCACTGAACATAGCTCTTGTCAGTCATATGTAAGAATTTTTCAAATCATATTTGATGAGTGGTATTTGGAATACATGAGTATAATGTAACGCTTGGAGTATAAAAATATACAAATACAACTAAAAAGACAGCATGAGTCAAGGAAGTTCCCTGTTCTTCCTCGTTTGACCAAGTTTTTTGTATTTTGTGTTTATCCTGCAACACAGGGGGCTCTGTGTGTTGCCCAGACTGGTCTCCAGCCTCAGGCTCCCAAGTAGCTGGGACTACAGGTCCAGAGCACTGTGGCAGCCTTCCAGTTTTGTCGGTTTGAGTTCCAGAGGTAAAATGAGGAATCGTGACATTGAGACCTAGAGCAGGGGTCAATGAACTGCTGTTAAGGGCCAGATAGTGTTAGTTTGGGCTTTGTGGGCCATAAGATCCCTTCCTCTATAATTCAGTGAGCTCCGTAGCGGCAGCAGGTGAAGGTTATGGCTGTGTCGCAGTGCTACTGTAACACAAACACTGGTACTGGGCAGGTTATTAGTAAACATTTTTTTAAAATTTTAGTTGGAAGAAGCACAGGATCAACACACAGGAGCGGTGCAATCTGCGGAGAAGATGGAAGAATGCATAAAAAAGTATGATTTAAAACAGTATACAAATAGGGAGTATTTATAAAGCAAATGACAATATAATATGAGACATGTCAGCTATGTAATTAATAAATCCCTGTCAAGCCAGAGTAAATTCTAGTTTTGATACAGTTACTTAAAATGTGTAATTCAGGGCTGTGGATACAGTGCAGTGGTAAGGACATGTGCTTTACATGTGAGGGCTTGTGTGCAGTGCCCAACACTGCGAAAGAAAAACTGTCCACAAGCACAGCTAGATACACGATAGTTACCACATCTACTTTGTCCAATTTTTAAAATTGTGTGTAGTCTTTCAAATGTTCAAACATTATGTGGCTTTTTAAAACAGGTCTGTGAAAGTCATTATTTTGAAACACTATTTTAGGCTTGAACTTGAGAATTCTAAGTTAAAAGTTAAAATGAAAAAACAAGTGGTGAAAATTGAACATCTTCAGAAAAACTTGTTGAGTGTAAATTTGGTAAGTCAGTCTCTTTTTAATTTGTATCATAGCAAAAGAGTTCTTATTTCTGTACTAGGATATGGAATATTTTAGACAATATGAAAAGTCTCATTCATAAAAATATTTGTCATAACCATATTGATATTACTTGCTACTAGTAGTGAAATCCTCTTAACTTTATAGAAAGGTAAGTAATTTCATACAGTTAATGACTTTGGCAGTGATATTTTAATAAAAAAGATTGTGATAGTCTAAAATCCTTATTTTATATATATCACATTTTATTTATCCATTATCCATTGATAGAGTTGAGAGTTTTTTGCCCATTTCTTTGGAAATAATCCTGCTCTGTACATTGATATAGAACTGTATGTTCTGAGTCCCAGCTAATATTTTATAATAACTTTTAAATTTCCAGGACCTTAAATTATGTGACCTAGAATTTTGAATTTCTCTTGCAATCAAACCCTTTCCATGAGATTTTGTAATTTATATTCTGATCAACAATGGATACTAAGTCACTATGCAAGTATTTTTTTTCCCCAGAGAGACATGTATTTCTCTTTGACTGTAAGAAAAGGAAAAGATGTCATTAAAAAAGTAGAAATGGCTATTTATCTTACAGAGTAGCTATGGCTCCTAGCATTGCAGTTTCAGAATTTTTTCCATTCACTAGAGTTTATCAGCTATTCAAAGATGTAACAGTCCAAAATTGATGCACAAGTTGAGGCGACATTTTGCTGATATACAATGAAAACCATCTAACTGTTGAGCAGCCAGAGCAGAGCCTCCTGTTGTTTATGCTCTCCTGTGTGGGAATTAGGGTCACAGGATACATTGTGTGCGTGGAACTGGAGCTATGAAGCAGCTCCTTTCACTGCCTGAATCTTAAGTCACGGCACTTTAATCCATCCAGGTCCATTACACAGATGCATGTTGTTAACAGCTTGTGTTTAGTGACCCCCAACCCCTCATGTGGTCATAGGTGGGGCTTTTCCAGAGGTGGCTGGATCTGGGGTGTGTGATGTGGGGATTACGGATATGTGATTACTAAGTTGGTCCACTGATTGGTTTGGCATAGTGTTGGGATCAAGAATAGGATGCTAGGATTAAGGGTGTGAGTGCTCTTGGCCCTAAAGATGAGTAGCCTGGGTAAGACACAGGGACAGAAAGAGGCCCGTCGCATGTCACTTTTTGCTGCTGCTGCTGCTGCTGCTGCTTGTCTTCTCCTCTGCGATGCCGCTCTGCCAGGCCACCCTGCCTTGGAGCCAGCGAGCTATGAACTGAAACCTCTACAAACCGTGAGCTAAAGCACCTTTTCCTCCCTTAACTTGTGGGTGTTGGGTTTTTTGTCACAGCAACAAGGAAACACATGTTTCCCGGGGAAGTATAGGATTCTCACTAGTGCTTTTCTGAAGAAATGTGGAGAAGTAATTTTTTCTAGATTTTATGTAAATCAGTCCTGTTTTATTACCATACTTTTAATACACATAACATGAAAATAGGTTGATAAGGAGTCTTTGGTGAATTAAAATGCCAGCGTATATCCTCTTACATTAAGTGTCATGCCTCAACACCCAGGTGTATTGCGGTATTGAAAAGTTGGTAATACAGTATAGAACTGGAAAATAGTTGAAAGAAAAAAATCCGACCCCAATAGGAAGGTAGCATTATAAAAGCCAAACAAGGTAAGTGATGCTGGTCGGCATTCTAGGGGTGAGTGCCCCAACCCAAGGTTAGTAGATGACTAAATTCAAAGTAACACCAGGGGGACTCAATATGAAATGCATAGGATTTGCTTCAGAAGTTATCCATACCAAATAAGGGCTGATGAGGTTTTTTTCCTATGAGAAGTGAACTGAAAGGGAGAGGTGAAAGTATAAATGACCCCTGTCCAGGCTGGAAATGGAGATTAGGTTATGGGCTTCGAAGGCTCTGATTTAGGGCCTCTGAGAGTCTGAAATGAAGTGGGGACAGGACTTAAGCTCCTGCCTTTAGGAGAGCAGGGGTAGAGGAGCAGAGAGAAGGCCTGGTCACTGTGAGCAGAGGCTGGAGGAGGTGGCAGGATAAGAACCCTATCAAAATAAAAGTCCTTGGTTACCCTCCCATTATTTTATTACAATCACAGCACGAAAATCAGACTTTGATGTAGACAAGTGATGAAAAACTAGATTTGTAGATGAGACCATGTGTCAGAGACTGTGAGAGTCCATTGGAGGAGAAGAAACAAAATGAGAGAAAAGCCACAAGAATCATGCAAAAGTTAAATTTCTTTACATTACAAAGAAGACAGACTTTAACGAAAAAGGTTTAATAGCAAAAAAGACAAAAAAGAATTTCCTGAGCCAGGGACATAGTTCTGTGGCACAGTGCCTCCCTGGCAAGCACGAGCTTCTGAGTTTGATTTCTGGTACCAAAACGAAACAAAACCAAACAACCAGAAGAGAAGAAAAGAAATTTCTGAGAGAACGCTTATAGAAAATAAGTATCTTTCTCATCTCAAAGTCAAATGAGGTGGAAAAATATGATGAAATCAGTAGATATTTTTCAAGTCTGGTCATGACAAAATATGGCTTAAATATACGCAGAATATCTTAAGGTATTGATGGGAAAGCTTCTATGATATCTTTAGAAATGAAAATAGATATATAACCATTGTTTTCAAATATTTTTATCAATATTTCCATGTAAAACTTTTACTTTCAACAAATTTTGGCAGTACAAATTTCGGAAAACATAAGATGAAATTACAAGTTCATTTCAGCGATGTTCCGAGAAAGACTGATTTTTGAAATCTACTTTTTGGTGTAACTTTCAAACATTGCATTAAAACACATTCATGAGCTCATGAGAAGTAATATTTTTAAGAAAGAATGACTTTCTAGATTTTAAAACAATAATTTAAAATTGGTTTTCAAAGTCTGAAGATGATAAGGAACAATTAAAGAAACTCACTGAGTTAAAACAAAGTCTGGAATATACTTTGGATGAAGAAAAGAAGCAACATGGTGAATTAGAGAAAGAGCTTACTGGGTAAGATTTTTGTGTGTCAAATCTTATCAACCATTCATTAAATGATTGTACTAACTTTATTAAAACTAAATATGAATTTAATATTTTCATTTTAATAATTAAACAAATTATTGTAGTTTAAAGTTTACTTCAGAAATCCATAACATAGTCTATTTTTTGAATGCCAAAACATTATTTAGTCTAATGATTTCAAAAACATGACAGGGCTTTCAAATAATGTCAGGTGCACTCTTTTCCATCTATCTTAAAATTTTTTTCTAAGAAATTTTATTCTACTTTTTTGCTGTCTTACTTTCCTTTGGTAATATCCTTCCATTCAGTATTAGAATATTTTATTGTGTAACAGCCTATGTTGTTAAGAACACTAGAAGTAATCTTGATTTAGCTTGTATTTGTTTTGTACCTCTTTCTGTTTGTTTGGTTATAAAATCTATCACAGAGTTACACTTGTTTTCCATGGCTAATTCCATGTGTGCATGAGGTACACGTGCTAGTAAGCTTCTGTTTGCTTATTGTGTGTATGTGTTCATGCACATGTATAATATATAAATAATGTACAGTCATCCCTTGATGTATTCAGGGTATTGGCTCTAGGACACCCTCAGATACCGAAATTCTTAGATACTCAAGTCTCTTTTATATAATGGCATAGTTTTTCCATATGACCTACTCAGTCCTCCCATACTGTATATGCTCTCTAGATTACTTACAACACCTAATTAATGAAAATGTTATATAAGTCATTGCTATATGATCCGGGGAGTAATGACAGGAAAAAAAATCGCCAGTACATGTTCAGTACAGGTACAGTTTTTTTTTCCTGAGTGTTTTCATTCCACTATTGGCTGCATCCCTGGAAACAGGACCTACAGGATAGAGAGGGGTGACTATATATGTGTCACACACAAAATGTATGTATGACTTGCTGATGCAAATGTTTCTACCACCACATGAAGGAAATGGAATGTTGTCCAGGGTCTTGAAGCCCCCAACATGGCTGCTTTTCTGTTTATTGGTGGAGAACTTGAGTTTGCTCTGATTCTAATCAATATTTGTTTCTCTTTTAGCTGTCTGTCTTCACACTGTTTTGCACCTCTTGTGTTTTGTCAACACTGGTAGCAAAGACTGAAATGTCTTCTTAAAACAGCCTTTTAGTCTACCGATTATTTCTCTGCTGATTTTCTTTCTCCTAAACTCTGCCTCCTCTTTTCCTCTTCAACTCAGATTTCAAAGATGATGTGTCCTGTGTCTCTTTTCGAACTTTGAATGATCTCCTTGATCTCTGTTTTTCTTTTTCTTTTTGTCTGGGATTGAACCTATGTCCTTGCACATGCTGAGCACATGCTCTACCACTGAGCTACACCTCCAGTCCACTTTGAGAATTTTGTGTGCACTTTCTTTTCTTGTACACCGTGGTTAAGAGGTACCAAAGTGTATTTTTTCATCTTTTTAAGAATTCACATATATTTTTCTTTACGTTGGTTTCCTGTCTGGGTTTTAGCTAATAATAATAAGTTGATGTTTTATGTTAACATACCAAAGTGGATATTAATGATAAGAATCCTGTGTATGGTTGCAGTATTAGCTCTTTAACTGTCACACATACATCATAAACTTTTGCTGCATATTATTTATCTAGGATTATAATTGCAACAGAATGCTTTCAAATAATGTTAGGGTGAAACAAATGAAAGAGAACTGTAATTTGTAAATTTGTTTCTTTTCTGATAGAATGTAATATCTGTTGAAAGAGTTAAAACTTTAAAACCACTCTGTACCTTCTTGCAGATTGAAGGAACTTTTTAAAACTATAGAAACCAAGTTAAATGAGCAGGGAAATGGAAGGTTTTGTTTCCCTGGAGATTTAAAATCCAGTGATTTTGGAACGAACATTTCAAGGAACACGCTAATGCACAAGGTAATTTTATATTAGTTTTGGGACCCAAAATTCTTAGTTTGGGGAACTATAAATCTCTGTGTGTTAAGCAGTGAAATGAAGCTTTTTGTTTTTGTGTTTACTTTTATAGGTTTGATAGGAATGAAAACTGCACCACTTTTCTATTAAAAAGGGCATACTTTGTCTTAAGTCCTGGCTAATGATATAAAGCCAACCTATACACCATCCCATGACCGCAAGTCCTGTGTACCAAATAAATTTCACGGGTTGGTTACATTTTTATTGCGATACTGTTAATTATACCTTGAAATTCAGTCATTTAAAATACGCGATTTGGTGCCAGTTAGTATATTCCCTGAGTCAGCAGTCATTCCCACAATTGTACAGTGTTCTTTCACCTGAAAAAGAAAACTCAGAGCCTTTAGCCGTCACCTTCCCCTTTCCCTGCTCAGCCTTAGAGAGCCACTGATGTACTTTGTAGGTTTTGTTCTTTTGGACATTTTATATCAAAGCACTCAGTATGTGTTCAGGCTTCATTTGGGACTGTCTTCTTTCACTTAACATGCTTCCAGGATTTATTCATCTTGTAGCAGGTATCCGTACCTAGTTTCCTCTTCTAAGTAATATCCTCTTGTATGGAGTTTTAGTCCATTCATCAGATGCTTTCCATTTGAACAGTTATTAATGCTGCTGTGGATATACATGCACAAGTCTTTGCGTTTGCCTATTTTCACTGCTCTTGGCTGTGAGTAGAATTGCTGAGTCATATAACTGTGCTTAACCTTTTGAGAAACTAGCAGTACTGGTCTGTTTTCCATAATGGTTGCTCCATTTCACATTTCATGAGCTTGGTATGAGACTCTGCATCCTGGCCGAAAGTTTTCCTTCTTTCTGATTGAAAGATTCCTTTGTAATGAAATGAAGCCTCACTGTGGTTTCCACTTGCATTTCCCTGGTGAGTGAGGGGATGGTGTGGAGCACATGTGTTTTCATAAGCTGATTGGCCATTCATCTATCTTCACTGGGAAAATGTCTACTTAAATCCTGTCTCCATTTTTAAATTGGGCGATCTTTTTTCTTTCTTTTTTTTTTCCTTTTCTTTGAGAGAGGGTCTCAGTATGTAGTCCAGGCTGGCGTCAAACTCTTGGCGATCCTCCTGCTTCAGCCTCCTGAGTGCTGGGAATACAGACATGTGCCACCACACCTAGCTTTGGGTTGTCTTTTTTGTTTTTTAATTGTGAGTCTTTGTGTGTTAATCCTGCTACTTTGTTGAAGTTATTAGTTTTAAAAGAGTCTTCTGATGGAGTTTGTTGAGTTTTCCTTGTAAAGGATCACATCAGCTGCAAATGAGGACTATTTGAGTACTTCTTTTTTTCCTTTCTGAATCCCTTAATTTCTTAATTTTGTGTGGTTGCTGTGGCCAAAGTTTTGAGTACTCCATTGAACAAGGCTGATGAGAGTGGGTGCTCTTGTCATTATTTTAGAGGGAATACTTTCAGATTTTCTCCATTTAATATGATGTCATAGTGGGTTTGTCATAAATGGCTATTATCAGTTTGAAGTAAGATCCTTTATATATTTTTCATCAAGATTTTTATCAGGAAGCAATGTTGGATTTTGTAAAAGACTTTTTTTTGCATCTATTGAGATGAACAAAGATTTTTATATTTGTTTATGTGTTGTGTTACATTTGTTGATTTAACATTTGTTGAATTATGCTTGTGTCCCTGGGTTAATCCCACTTGTTCATGATGAATAACCTTTTTCATGATTTGTTACATTCTCTTTTAAATATATGTTGAGTTTTTGCCCCCGTGTTCATTACACAAACTGGCCTGCAGGTTGTTTTTGTTGTGTTTTGTTTTGTTTTTTAATCCTTGGTCAGTTTTATTTTTCTTTTCTTTTTTTTATTTTTTAAAATAGAAAGAGTTTCTTTCTTTATATTTTTATTTTAAAAATAAAAGGAGGAAAACATTAACCGACACAACATTTTACAAAATGGCAAAAGAACAGCACAGACAGTATGGAGTTACAAAGTGGAAGGGAATTAACAATGCTTATTGTATTACATATTTATATTTTCAAAGTGGTTTCTCATAAAAACAGATATAGACATGCAATACCGATCAACCAAGGACTCACTGACAATTTCTTTCACAAAGAAATACAACACAGTAGAACAGCCATGTTAACTATCCTGTATATACATACATACAAAATTTTTCCTTCTTTCCCTTCTCTTTTCCCACATCCCAGTTGCCCTTTACCCTTGAGTGCTTTCCTATCATTTCACAATGTCTATCATACCTCCTAGTTTAAATGAACTCTTTCAGGTTTTACACTAGTGAAACAATGTGGTGGTTGCACATGTATGTTTGATTTATTTCACTTATGAGTATGGTCTCTAGTTGTGACCATTTACCTATAAAAGCCTCGAGTTTATCTTTCTTTACAGCTGAGTAATATTCCATTGTATAAAAGTACCACAATTTTCTTATCCAATCCTTGGTGGATGGACATTTGTGTTGCTTCCACAATTTAGCAATTACAAATTGTGCTGCTATGAACATAGGTGCACATATATCACTGTGATACGATGTTTTTAGATCTTCTGGGAAAATACCCAGCAGGGGGATAGCTGGGTTAAATGGGACCTCTAGACCTAGTTTTTTGAGGAATCCCCAAACTGATTTCACAGTGGTTTCACCAGTCTGCTTTCCGACCAGCAGTGGAGAAGGGTTCCTATTTCTCCACAGCCTCGCCAGCATTTGTTATTGGTTGATTTCTTAATGCTAGCCATTCTTACTGGGGTAAGGTGGAATCTCAGCGTTGTTTAAATTTGCATTTCTTGAATGACTAATGATGTTAAAACATTTTCTCATATATTTATTTGCCATTTGTATCTCCTTGTCTGAGAAGTGTGTATTCATCTCAGCGGCCCATTTTTGGATTGGGTCTTTGAATTTGGAGGGGCTGATATTTATTAATTCTTTATGTGTTCTAGATAGAAGCCCTTTGTCTGAGGGACAATCACTTGGCTGGTTTTAATAGCAGGATTATTCTATTTTCAAGAAATTAGTTTGGCATAGTGTTAAAGGGTAAGAAACTACTCAAAAGGAAAGAACAACTGGGATGGGGGAAAGGAGAAAGGAAGGGAAATGAAATATATACATACATACATGTATAGATAGACAGATAGTAGCTAGGATCATTATACTACTAATTTCTGTCTAGTTCATTGAAAGAAATGGTCTGTGCTTATGTTCTTTGACCAAATTTTCCTGCCTGTATCTGGTAATCTGAGCAACTTCTCTGAAGATTCCAATATGTAATATATTAATCATTATTAATCCCCTCTTAGCTTGTTTTGAAACTCTGTATCAGTGTTTTTCTCTTTAAAATAAATTTTAAAAAATTTATAAAAAAAGAAATTCATTTGACTGTATTCTTTCCTTTTCAATTTCAAAGAAGAGTTTGAGGAGTATTGGCATTAATTTTCCCTGAGGTTATGATACAAATTCAGTGGTAAGTTCATCAGGTCCTGAGCTTTTATTGATTGATAGGAATTTAATTACTGCCTCAATTTCATTGCCTCTTATTGGTCTATTATGGGTGTTTACACATTCTTGCATTGGATTTTGTAACTCATGTGTGTCTAGGATTTACCCATTTCATCTAGATTCTCCAAAATACTGAAATAAAGGTTTTCAAAATAGTTTCTTAGAAACCTTTGGATTATGGCCATGTCCATCAAGATTGTACTTTTTGTGTTTCTAATTACATTGATTATGGGTCTTTTTCTTGTTTTGGTGAGTTTGGCGACAGGTTTATCAATTGTATTTATCTTTTTAAAGAAGGAACTCTGTATCATTGGTACTTCATTTTTTTTTTTTAGTCTCTATTTCTCCTCTGCCCTTTATAATTTATAGGTTTTTTGTCATCTCTAATTTCTCCTGTGACCTTTATAATTTCATTCCTTGTAAATTTTTGGACTTAGGTTGCTCTTCTTTGGTACATTGTTAGATTATTTATTTGGGCTATGGATGTTCACAGCTGCTTACTTCCTCTTAAGACTGCTTTCATTGTGTCTCATAGGTCTTGATATGCCACGCTGCCATTGTCTTTTGATTCTAGGAACTTTCCAATTTCCTTTTGTTTTGTCCTGTGACATGCTGTTTATTCAGGAGTGTATTATTTAATGTTTGTGTTTACATAGTTTAGTTTGTATGACTTCTTTTGCCATTGACTGCTGCTTTCTTTGTGCTGTGATCTGATAGTATTCTTGAGATTCAGGCTGTTTTGTATTATTTATGCATGCTTTATGGCCTCAGCTGTGGTGTATTTTGGAGAAAATTCTGTGTGGTATGGAGAAAAATGTGTATTTTATTGTTGGAGGAAACACTATGTAGATATCTGTTAAGTCTACAAAACCAAAGAGCCTACAGGAAATAAGATATCTAACAAGGTGAGGAGTTCAACAGAAGGGTAAAAGTAAAGGAATTAGCAAGAGAAAAATACTGCAGTGATAGGATTCAGCAAATACCCTCAGTCATAACTCTCAATGTAAATAGTCTTAACTGTCCAATCACAAAATACCAAAAGGCAGATTGGATCCAAAATATAACCCAACTGTGTGTTGCCTGCACGAAACACACCTCATCCGTTAAAAAAAAAACAAAAAACAAAAACAGACTGAAAGTGAAAGGATGGAATATAGTATTCCATGCAGCAGGAGCTGAAAAGCAAACAAGAGTAGCTATCATGTTTTCAGACAAAGTGGACTTGAAGGCAGAGGTGATAAGGAGAGATAAAGAAAGGCACTGCATACTGGTAAAGGGAATAGTTCAGTAGAAGAGATAACAAGTATAAAGACACCAAATTTCATAAAAGCAATAGTACTGGACATGAAAGACTACACATCAACACAATGAGAGTGGGGGTTTCAGTAATACCCCCACTCACAAATAGGTCAGCCAGGCAAAATATCATCATGGAAATACCACAGTTAAATCAAATAAATG